TTGTGCCCAGAATTATTTGCAGGCGTAATCAGGTCCTCGGCCATCAAAGCGATGCTATTGACAGCACCGGGCTCACACATGGACCGTGTTATCCCTGCGCAGCCCCAGCTCTTTGCAGCGGCGGGCAGGTTTGCAGCCCCGTTTGACCAGTCTGCAAACCGAGGGTGGAGCTGGGGGTGGCACTTTCTCAACCTCCTCTGGCATTTGCACACAGACCGTGATGTATGTCCCATCCCGACCCCACTCTGCCCACCAAGGGCCAGTCGTTGCGTCTGTGGAGGTTGTTTGGGTTGAACCCAGCTCTCTCCGTCACTCCTCTTTACGCTGTTATAGCAGATGCAGCCCTGGTTTATGCCATGCGACACAAGAAAAAACATATGTTCAAGCCCTTCCCAAACCCCAAGGATGGAGAAGCCTCCTGCCTGTTTTCCTTACACCTCTGGTGGTGGAGCATCTCCTCCATTCCAAGCTCTTTTCCAGTGTGCGTTAACCCAAAGACCCCCTCTACCCCTTGAGACCTCCTCCCATCACAGCCAGCCCAGCTCAGCGTGTCCGACAAGGTCGGGACGGATCCTCATACTCTAGATGCAACTCGGAAAAGCCAAAAGATGTGACATCCATCACCAGTGAATAAGCAGCAAACTGCTGTCATAAATTTGTTTGCTCTTATTTGTGATATTAAGGGGTTCCTCTGCTCTCCCGTGGGGTGTCCTGAGTGGGATGGAGCTGGACCTGGAGGCATGGCAGTGCCACGCTGTCCTTCAGACCATGAAGATGGCAAGCACCTCTTGCTCTGGTGGACCAACCCTGCAGACTTACGGCAGATGGAGAGAGGCCAGGACATCCCTGGACATCAGTCTGACATTTGGGTGAGCCGGTGAGTTGTACTGAAAGGAGGTGAGTAAGCGTTTTGTGCCAAAGCTCAGCTCTCCTGGGACTGAGAGGAAAGGCTGGTCCTCCATGGGGACAGCACAAGGTGGAGCTGGGATTGCCGGGAGTTTTGGAGACCTGTTTATGGGGAAGAGACCGAAAGGGCTTGGCTTGTTTTGCAACCAAGGAGATGGCAGAGGGGGGTCAGACAGATCCAGGACTGAAGGCCGGTGAAGAGCATCTACAGGCAGCGTGAGGCTCAGAGACAGAAACTGGCTCAGGCTGACCAAGACGAGCTTTCAGCCTCACCAAGGATGCGGTTTTGAGGGGACACCTCAGCCCCTTTCTAAAGAAACCTCAGTTCTCACCTCACCGCTGCAAAAGAGCTCCCTTTTGAGGTTCTACAGCCTCTCTGACGTTATCGGTGTGCCTCAACCCTGGTTTTCCAGGCGATGGACTCCCTTGCTCTCTGCCCATGTGTGCTTCGGTAGTGTCCTTGCTTTCTTTTTTTTTTTCACCTTTCCTTTCTTTCCAAAGTGCTAACTGGCTCCGCAGAAGCCCTGCAAACCATCTTCCAGGCTCAGATCTGCTAAGGACACCCCAGCGCCAGGGATATTTCCTACCTAAACCAAAAAAAAAGCTGCTCAGGAAAGATGGATGTGAGTAGTGAGAGGGCGGAGGAGGACCAGGAGGAGAGGTGGGCAGAGGGGCTGGGACATAGTGGGAATTCAAATCTTCCATCTGGTGGCTTCTCACTGAATCAAGCGAGCTAGGCTTTTTTTTTTTTTTTCCCTCCATATATTTAAGGTCTGAAATTTTCACTGATCTGTCAAAACGAGCGCTGTAAAACCCCCGGCTAGCTGGAAAAGCAAAGTTATTGAAACCAGTTTGGCGACTTGTGACCTTTCCATGAAAAGTTTATATTAATATTCTTCCAAAAAAACACTCACTGAAGGAACAAATTGAAATGCTTAAGGGAAAAAATACTCTTGCCACAAAACATCCAAATCTGGGTAAAAAAGCCCGCTCAAGCAGTTCGGGGTGCTTAGCTGATCCTTCCTGCAGATCAAAGCTCATTGTATTTCTCCTTTTGCTTAAGGATATCAGCAACAATACCAAACTTCACTTCCTTCATCCAAAACCATTCTCTAGCAAAATTAAATTAAGCTTTTTTTTTTTTTAAAAGGAAAACAATAAAAAAAATTAATAAAAAAATAAAACCCAGGCACAAGCCCGTGCCCCAGCTGGTGTTCATTGGCAGCTCCCCAGCCCTCGGCAGAGCTGAGCCAGCTCCTCCAAGCACGGGATCAGAGAACCCTGAATCCTGCCTAAATCCTGCCCTCCCTGGGGTACTTTTTCCTCACCCTTTGTTTTTTTCTCGCTTTCCCAGGCCCCTGTGATCTATTGTCTTTCCTGCAATTACGAACAGCTGATATTAGTCGCTGTCTTGACAACGCTCGCGTGTGAGTAATGCGTTGAGCCGATGCCCTGCCGGCACCGCGGGCTTCGGTGAGGAGGAAAGAGCAAAATCACCGAGCTCCACCCCAGCAGGTCCGAGTATCAACCTGTTTCTGAGCATCTTTTACTTCTTTAAGCAAAATTGGGTGTTTTTCACACGTTGGCTCTCTGCTAGCTCCCATCTGTGGTTACTGCCGTCCTTGAGAAGTTGACACGAGCGCAGGGAGGATGGGGCTGAGCCAAAGTCCTCTCAAATTCAACATCATCACCCAGCATCTCCCTGGGACAGGGGCTGAGGTGGGTCTCTGAGGTTGCCGTTTCACTTGGGCCCCCACCCAGCGTGAAGGATGTTAGAGAAAAACCTATGGAAGGATGGGAAACACCCATTTCCTTAAAATTAAGAAAAGCATCTGTGGGCTGCCTGCACCCCGAGTGAAAACACAGCATCTGGGTGGGTGTAATTAGGGAGGTAAAGGGGTTGGAAAGGGTTTTGCTGGGAGCACTGGTGGACCAGAGGATTCGTGTCTGGTCAGCAAGGCTACACGTGCTCGGCAGGTCTATGGAGCATGGTTTTAAGAAATACCTTGTAGCTGAGCTTGAATTGAAGGGTTTTTTTCTACTGGAAACGGGCATAGCTTGCTTGAGCAAAGTTGGCCAAGTCACTTGCTCTTCTTCAGCCCCATCCCAAAGAGCGAAGAGGCCATCCTCCTCCTCCTCCTCCTCGGGCTGCAGGGAGAGGGTCAGAGGTTCTTGAAGAGAGGTTCAAGAGAAGACTGTAGTACAACAGTATAGGTTATTCAGGATGAAGCTAATACTGACAAGATGAGAATATTAATTTGTTATATGCGGCAAGACAATAAAAAAAGGTCGTTGTCTTTTAAAGGACTTTCTCCTGCAGCCTCCTGGCTCAGCCTGAGTTGCTGCATCCCCATCACTGCCAGTCTGGGGATAGGCAGGGGATCCCACTGCAGCACGGTGCAGGCTCATCAGCGTAGGAGAACTCTGTAGTACATTATATATTTCTGTTAATAAAACATATTATATATGGAAACTTGTTAGGTGTTATAAAAAGGAGCTTATTTAAAAATATCTATACAGAAACAGGCATATGTCAACTCAACAATTTATGGTTAATTGATATTAATTATTTTGATGAATTACTGATACAGTTTTAAACTATATTGTTCCCATAATACCCCTTTGTGCTCTCATTTTAAGACAGAATAACAAATCAAGATTGTAGCAAGGGCTATGGAGCTCTGCTGGGGCTGGATTCCAATGTCCCCAAGGAGCACCATGCCAGGACTTCAGTGTCCCCCCAAAAAGACTCAAGGTGAGAATTCCTGATGATCAAGAATGGGGAGCAATGCCAGGAGAGCGTGATGAGCAGAGACAGCTTGGATGAGGTCAAGAGATGGGAAGGTTATAGGGGTTCCCAAAGGTGTAGGAGCTCTTTGGGAGCGCATGGCTGGATGTGGGAGAATGGTGGGCCACCAGTGGACTCCAGTTTCATGTGCTGATTCTACCAGTGTGATAACAGAGGGCTGAAAACTAGCTAATATAAGGAGGGACCTGTGCAGAATATTTTATGGCTTGGTAGTCTGGATCTGGACCTCCAACCTTGGCTAAAAGAGGATGCAGCTCTCCCAGCATTTCTGCAGGGAGGAGAAATTGGGTTTATTTGTAGGCAAGCTCAGGAGCAGTGTAAAGAAGTGATACTGCTTATAGTGCTTGATTTCCTGGGGAAATCAGGGGCTGAACTGGCTGTGGATCCAGCCAGGAACAGGGTCTGGACCTATTACACCCTCTCTATCTGCAATAGCTGCCATTTTTATTTGAGAGGAATACGATGGTGGATGAGTATTGGCTTCCATCTGTACAATAAGGGCTATCGTAGACTGCCAGAAATGTAGACAGAGGAAGAGGGATGGATGGATGGATGACTGGGCAAATGGATGAATGGATGCAAACTCAAGTTCATTTTTGAATTATGCCATTTCTTAAGAGCAGTATGGATGCCTATCACTCTTGCTTCTTCCTTTGGATTCAGAGAATGTCTGTATTGCTCATTGAAACATCCATTGCTCCACATTTCCACTTGAATCTCTCATAGATAAAAGTCTCCCAGTCCAAACTGAACAAGTGAATATTTCTGGCTGGCTTTTGCAGAGTCAATTGGGCTTAAAAAGTTTTAAAAAAGACTAAAAATCAAAAAAGCCTCCCCTAAACTCCATGGCTGGTGCTCACATTAGCATAGGCAATGTCCCCTGACATCCGGGCAGCAGGCAGGAGCATCTGTGCCGGAGGGCTTGGGGGTGTTGGTGGAGGAGGGAGGGAGGAAATCTGGAACCCATAAGCTCCACTGATGTTTGCATTACCTTGCACGGCTGCATTGGTCTGTGCCTGGTCCGCCCACGGTCCTCCTCGCCCTATCAGCAAGAGCCATTCCCCAAAGTTATCCGAACGCCCTCCTCTCTGTAGCCCAAAGGAAAAACCAACCGAGCTCCTTGGAGGGCTCTGCAAGGCTTGGGAAGTTTGGGGAGGCTGAAGGGTGGATGCTCCAGGCTGTACCTCTTGAGCGGGCGCCGGCTCCTCTCCAGGCCTCCTTGCCGATGCGCTGCGGCTGTCGCATCTCGTGAGACCCCCAGAGCCCTTCGCCCGCAAGGTGCTGAGAAGATGAAAGAGGAAAGCATGTGCCCGGACTCCCCCGAAGGCAGCCTGGTCACCAGCGAGGAGGAAGGCGAACGGCTGCACAAGAAATGCCTCCGCAAGCGCGGCCAGGGGGGCAAGCCGGCGGAGGATTGCGGCGCGCCCTCGCCGCAGGGCAAGCGGAGCAAGCGCAGCCCCGTCCCGCAGTCCTTCGAGGACGTGCACACACAGCGCGTGATCGCCAACGTGCGGGAACGCCAGCGGACCCAGTCGCTCAACGACGCCTTCGCGGAGCTGCGGAAGATCATCCCGACCTTGCCCTCCGACAAGCTGAGCAAGATCCAAACCCTCAAGCTGGCCGCCCGCTACATAGACTTCTTGTACCAGGTCCTGCAGAGCGATGAGCTGGACCACAAGATCACCAGCTGCAACTACCTGGCCCACGAGAGGCTCAGCTACGCCTTCTCCGTCTGGAGGATGGAAGGGGCTTGGTCCATGTCCGCATCCCACTGAGCCGGGGTATGTATCGCCACCTCCCCGCCGACACCTCCGTACGTCCCTCGCTCCTGCATCCTCCACGCGTCTCCCCCAGGTCGGTCCCGCGGGGGAAACGCGAAGCAGCCGCCCCCTCCTCACGCTCCACGTGCAAGCGATTTGCTTTAACGAACCCCAGACGCCGCCAAGGCCGGCAGTCGGAGGAGGTGGCGATTCCCGACCTCGCCGGGGCCGGTAGGACGTTGCAGGGGGCCGAGCGGCGGAGCCCTAAAACGACTGATCTCATTTAGCGGGGTCTGGTCCGGGGCAGGCTAGTGAAAGGTTTAAAACGAGGGCTTAAAAAAATCTGATTTATCCTCCCAGGGTAACCCGGGAGGGGGTGTAAATCAGCAGACACCCTCCTGAATGCGGTTGGGTTACCGAGGTGTCAAAACCGCACGAGTGAGACCAGCGGCAGCCCCGGCCGATGGCTGCTGTTGGTCCCACCGTGCGAAGCGCCCAGCCTTGTCCTGGCTGCCCGGATTAATCTCGGCTGCCGTTCCCTGAAGCTGTTGGGTGGCCCTGGGGCCTCCAGCCTGCCGGGCTTTCTCCTAGCCCTCTCCTGAAGCGCTGCAGATAAGATGGGATCCATAATCCCTTTGGATCTGTTGGCATCCTACGTTGCAGGGAATAAAATATTGAGCGAGGATGCCGGGGCGGTGAGGTTTGCCTGCTCGTTGCACTGCACCCCTTGTTTGATGTACTCAGCACCATCCAGCTACCACCTGAGCATCCTTTCAATCACTGGTAAAGCTGCTGAGAGGGGAATAATCCTGTTTTCAGTGCTTTAGGTCTCATTGGGCTGGGAGAAAGGACGGAACGGAGGGAGAAGGATCAGCTATGTGCTAACGTTTCCTGCAGCCTGTGAGCAGGAGCAGAAAGCTCCAGAGGACGTTCCCAAGCTGTGGACTTCGGGGACACTTCATGGGAGCCCAGCCCAGCTCCCGAGAGTCCCTGTTGTCCCCTAAGCAGGATCAGGGTTTCTGGCTTTCCTCGGGCACTGACTTATTAACCCCTGCCTTGTGTCGGCCCTGGTGCTGGGCATGAGAGACCACCGGGTCCTCTGGGGAAGCCAGCTGCAAAAGGACACTTATTTTTCTTGCACCTACCACTAAGGGCTGCCCATGAAAGACCATTTTCTTATTATTTTCTGCCAGCAATTGGGGTCAGCCTCCTGCACCCTCCTGGCATGCCATTTCTCCTCCTGGCCGGTCTTACTGCAGTCCCAATTCAGTGCAGGGATGCGGGACCGTGCCCAGCCATGGTCTCCTTCCAGGCAGAAGCAGCATATTTATAACCCAAGACAGGCCAGACCCTGCGATGAGAAGTGCTGAGTGGGTGCAAGACCCTAATTTAAGGCATGCTGACCCCCAGCTGGGGCAGGGACTGGTGTGATGCTGCAGCCTGATGTGAGAGCGCTGGTCCCTGCCGAGGACGATGGGGTCCCGATGCCTTTGCCTTTAGGGTACTTCTGGGGGAAGCCATAGTGCAAAAAAAAAATTGGCTTTCCATGCTGATCTCATGTTTCCAAAGGCCAGAGGGAGTGGGAAAGGGAGGAAAGTGGCCTTTCTGAGACAAAATATTTCATAGCAAACTGCTGCAAAGTGGCTCAAGTGATGGCCGGGTAGCGGGGGACCCTCTGCTGCGGCCGCTGACCCTCCTGCTGTTGGGCTTTGCCACTTAACATTTCAGGCCTGAATTTCAGGCCAGATCTGCAGATGTAGGTGCAAGCACCGGCTAAAGAGGTTGACCAGCTCCTAGGGGTGTTTCATTTAAGGATGTGCCACATTTAAACTCTCATTTTCCTGCAAGCCTTTCTAAGATCTCTTCTAACCCACTGGAAAACTGCCCGTTTTCTATATCCATGTGTAGATTACAATTATTTGGGGTAGACCTGGTTGTTTAAAAAATGAAAGACTGTCTTTGCTGGAAGCAGGATTGCTGCCCCTTAGCCGTGGCTGGGCGCCGTCAGGGACACCTTCCCCTGCGGGACAGCCAGAAGCAAAGCATGTGGTTACTTGTTCTCACTTTGAGAAGCCAAAAAGCTGCCGGGGAAAGTCGGGCTGCTGAGTGCCCCAAGCAGAGCAAGCCCATATCCCCCCCAGACCCTCCTCTACCCTCTTCTGGGCATCACATTTTTGCAGCCGGGTGAGTTTTGCAGTTTGCAGCTGGGTTTTGCTGTTTCGGGGATGCGGGGTATTCCGGGCATGCTCCCAAAAGACGAGGGCTGCTCGGCACGGCTCTGCCCTGCTCCTAGGTTTGCAAGAGAGGTGGAATCAGCCCGGTGGGACCGTGGGTTTCTTTGGTGGATGGTTTTTAAGAAAAAACTGTGCACGTCGTTAAAGCCCAGCTAACGGGATTTTCGCCTTGGGGAGGTGCGGGGATTTTGAGTCCCCTCCCCATTGCCCCGAGACTCGGGGCCGTTGCTCTCGGCGCACGCGTGTGTGGGCTGACGTGCAGCTCTGCGTCCGGTCATTGACTTGTAGACCTGTTTATTTAAACTGAGTGCTTGGCAGGAATTGTGTTCCCATGATAAACAGAGGTATTAAAGACCCTTAGTGATCTTAAAGACCTCTCTGCTAAATGAAAAAGCCTCCATGTAAAAAAATCCCTCATGTCCTGTGAGCGTGGTACGCTCGGTGTGCTTATCATTGCTGGTTAATATTCATCCCAAGCGGCTCCGGTGCTTGCCTTGAGGCAAAGCATCCTTCAGCTGAATAGATAATAATCTGCTTTGTGCCAACCTGCAGCTGTATTCGGGTACCAATTAGCAACTCCCAGTTGGGCAGGGAAGTAATGGGAGGAGGATTTGCTAAGCAAAGACCAAGAAGAGGGAACAGCCATAGGGGAAGCGATGCTGGAGTTGGAAAGGCTGCGTCTCTCTCTCTCTCCCATAAGTGAATTAACCCAGTGCTTGCAATGGGACTGTAATTTTATAATGTAAAGCAGCTAATGGCTGCTGCGAGCGCCAGCATACTGGTCTCCACTGGAACTCAGCCTATTAAATATCAAAGGGTGCTGGAATAGCTGGATGTGGATATGCCCTTGTTAACCAGGAGACATCATCCGGGGAAAGAGGGATTGAGCCCTCAGGCAAGAAAAATAATGTTTGAAGTCCCCCAAGCTCACGGTTTTTCAGCACAGTCTTGAGCACATTAAAATGGTTTCTTTTCCTGCTGGAGGAGAAAATGAGGCTGGAAGCTGAAACTGCTGGCGGGGAAAGACTGGCGGAGTTGTAAGGGGTGATATTCCTTGCCCTTCATTTGTCTCCCTGGATTTATTGTCTTTCTTGCGTTGCCCTCACTTAATTGTCTATCCTGAAAGACCTTGGATAAATCTTCCCTTTGGGGACTGTTGCTCTTGCTTGGAGTCTGCTTTGTCGGGTGGATGCTTCATTTTCTTTTATTTATAAATACATCTCATTGCACAGTATTAAAGCACCAGGGTATTAAAGGAGCTTGGGGAAAGCTCCCTTCCCTATTCAGATCTGCTCAGAAAATGCATTTAAAGCAGCATCTGCTTCAAAAAGCTGCGATCCCTGTGCAGACTGGCAAGAAAGCGCGGTCCTGTCCGGCTGAGCTGCCGTGCCACCCTGGATCAGTCCTTTAAAAGCAGTGAGAAGTGGGTCCATTCGCTCACTGCTGGTTAAACTGGCCAAGGTGGTCCAGGATGCCCAGGCTGGCTCCGAGCAAGCCCAGGCACTGGGCTCTTCCTTAGCCAGGTCCAGTGGGCGAGGAGTTGCGCTGGCAGGAACCACCTCGCTTTCACTTTTGGTTTGAGCTCCCAGAAGAGACGAGGATTTGCCCAAATCCTGGGAAATCTGTGCCTGGGTGATTTTTCTTTTTTCCATTCGGGCCACGTTAAGTCCCAGCCATACTCCGTGCTCCCATCCATGTGCTCTGGCAGGATGCTTCTGGGATTTGCTCCTTCCTCTGGCATAGAGCAAGTTTAGAGGCCAGAATTTTCCTCCAAAGGTTGCTGGCTTCTCCCACAAGCACAGAGCCGGTGTGGCATTTGCCACGGCATCTGCAGGATGGACAGCTAGAAGAAGAGATGTTCAGTGCCTTGAAGGCTCCAGTTTTGGTGCCTCGGGGCAGGAGGAACTGCCCTAGATGAGGGATGCGGGACATCCCCCAAAATCCCGGGGCTGATCCCACACACTGGCTCCAGGTAAGGCTGCAGGACCAGACGGGGCTGGGGATGCTCAGCCCGACCAGCACCAGCCCACACCGTGCCAGGGCTGTCAGGGGACACCCCGACTGCTGTGTAGGAGCAAGGGGTGGCATCGCCTTTGCTGTCCCGATTTCATCTGCCGCAGTTCCCAGAGCCCAGCCCGTTCAGCCATCCCTCTCCAGGTCCCTTGGCATGAGAGCATCTGGCACAAGGATATGTCAAGGGGTTGCCATTCATTTCACCGTCAGAAAAACCTTTTTCCAGCAAAAACTTCCTCCTTTCTATTAAAGACGGAAGAACTCAACACCGAACCTGCCCGAGGGGACCAGGTTCCTCTCCATCTCAGGAAGGCAGGTTCTCCACACTACTTGGGATTAGTTAAAATTAAAACAGAGATAAAATTACAGAGCCAGCCCTCACGAGCATTAAAATGTCTGCCGGTTTACGATCCCCACGAGGAGACAGGCTCGCTAGATCTCAGCTGCGTTCGCTTAGCCCAGAGGAATGCCTTTGAAACGAACCCGTATTTCATCGCCGAGTGTCACGGGAATGCACCTGGGATCTGAGGGGGAACGAAGGAGATGCGTTAACAAGACGGGCTTTGCATTTAATTTCCTTTTATAGGGCTGTACCTGAACAGAGACGAGGGTGTTAATGCAGCGGAGGGAGGGAAGGGCAGTCGTCAGCCGGGGCGTTGAGGACGGGCTCGCAGAGCATTGCGTCTCCCCGGCTCCATGATCTGGTCCGTGCCGGCCTCGTGAACATCCATCCCCAAGCCCTGCCCCATCGGAGCAGGGTTAATCCCCT